TGAAGAGTATGGGCAGGAGGCCATGGAGGGCCAAGGAGAGGCAATGCTGGAGCCAGAAGGGGAGACATATGATGAGTCCCAGCAGGTAATCAGCCTACAATACGCAAAGTGTACACATGGCTCTGCTCTGTCATCAAAGTATCACAAGAATCAGCTTTTGAATTGGACTATAATTACATTACAGATCATTTTTGTGTAAAACCCTTTAAAAAAAACTGTGGAGTAGTGGACATCAGGCAGAGATGAGTCCATTCACTTACCGTAGATTGAGGTTCATCAGTATTCACGAGCTCTGCATGGATACACATTTTAGCTGTATTGGATTTCAATGGCACTCCACTTTTGCCCTCCACTTGTGTCCCACACAAACACTACAGCTCACGCTGAGGTAATTTTTTCCTTTCTGTGGAAATGATAACGGAGGACTTAACAAGCCAATTGCCACGCAGCTAGTACAGTGAATATAGCACCACCTACTTTCACTGAGCGTTGGGTGTGTGTCCGTGTGCACGAAGGAGGTATGTGAATCTGACACAGATGGTTATTTTTGGAATTTGGCTGTCAGGGGCGAGACAAACTGTGCAGAACTGATGGCTTTGAGTACAGATTTTAAATAGCGATGGTAGCATATAAAAATATCATACAGTGTACATAATGTCAAAGGGCTGATCGTGCTAGTATGAGAGCACTGATCCTGTGTTATTGCCACTGAATATATACGTTTTCTGAAGCGGGTGAAATAAGATTTATTTTGAGATTTTATGTGATTTCCAATAATAATATATTCTGTGTGTTTACTTTAATAATCCTTTGCATCAGTGGAGTCTTGCACTAGTTGGGAAAAGGAGTAAACCCGAGGCGTTCCCTGAGATCCAAATTCAAAGTGAATTTCTCCACGGATGTGTATCATCCTTGTCCTCCTACTCCTCCGTGTCTCTTTCCCCTCCCCCATCTTTTGCTACACCAGCGGTGTGCAAGCTCGGTCTGAATGGGTGTGGTGATGACGCTCTCTACCTTCATGCATTGTGGGTAATGTCAGGGTCTCCCTGCATTGCTGTAAATATGGAGTCTGAGTGCTGCAGAGTGAACGAAGCCATCACTGGGAGGATCTGAAAAGAAATCTGTGTCATCCAGTATCACTCAAGGCTTTGTGAATACATTAGATGACATAAGACTGTTGGAGGCTGTGTTATTTATTTATTTTTTTTATGATCATGTGTGGTGGAGGCGTGTGCAGGCTTGCAAGGATATGGAGAGTGTGCTCACGATGCGCGTCCTCGATGTAAGTGCAGTGTTGTGCTGCCCTCTGCAGGCTTGAGAGAAGCACTGAAGGAACAGATGAGCTCAGCTTCAACAAAGTGACATCATTACCGTCTGCTGAGACTAATAAACTCTGTATCATATATTCTGCTAAATCACATTAAAGCTGAATATTATTTTAGATGTAGATTTACCTTTAGAGCTTCTGTGTGCTGCAAATTTTACTGGCCATCCTCATAAAAAAACTTGCTCTTCTTTTCCCCAGGAGAGCCAGGACTACGAGCCAGAAGCATAAGAGCATCAGTCGAAGCCACCGTCCAACCAGCAGCACAATAATATTTCTAATAATAAAAAGGACAAATGCTGAAACTATTACAATTATATTCCTGTTGCAAAAAAAAAAGAAAAAAACAATAAAAAAGACAAGCATTCCCACTGAAAAATGTTCTTCCTTCAAGACAAATCTTTTATTATTATATATTGTAAATGTCATGTTCTTAATGTAATGTGTTGGGTGTAGGTATTTATTGAGATGTAGGATTTGTCCTCACGGTCTCATTTCCTTGATTCCCTCCCAATGAAATGAGACCAGAACCAGGGCTTGTGACTTTGTACTTGTGTGTATCTGTATTTAGAAATGTGCAATAGATGTTCATCATCTTCCAATGAGACATTGGGAGTGGTAAAAAATAAATATGACCGGTTGCAAGCAGATATGAATACAATAATATCCTCCTAAGTGTCGACAATGCCTGTTTGTGGAATTCTATTTTTCTTTTTGCATTTCTTTGGAAGTTTAATTTGAACGTTTCTTGAAGTAAGAGTTTTTTACATTGTATCTTTATGATTGCTTGTGAAATCATTCCAGTAAACTATCTGTTAGAAACTGACAGAGTGTACACGTTTGTTTGTGTGGGTGTGTGGGTGTGTGTGTGTGTGTGTGTTTGTTTGTGTGTACTGAAGATTTTATCAAGTTAAAGTCAATATATTATGTCTTGGAATCATAATGGTTGTCATAACAATATGTGCTTTAAATTGCAGGACTTGTCAATATAAAGGGTTACATGTTAAGCCAGACATACAAATCCTCTGTAAATAAAAGGTTAAAAAATACACATTTGTTAGCGTTGTTTAATAATGTGCAAACTCATTTACTGCGCTGATCGCTCATCGCATTTTAAATCTTTTCTAAAGTTGACCTCAATAAGAATCTATTATGCGTCGCCCTCGCATGTTTATCTTTTTTGCTCACTCTTGTCTGGGGTTTGGTTAAAGGATGTGTAAAATCTGCTGAGTAGGCTCTGGCCATTGGCACAATGGTGCCATATTTGGGATTCCAGTCTGATCGTGCCTCTTTGGGTGGGTTTTGTTTTGGTTAATCCAGCTGGAACGTGCAGGCTCGGTGGTGCCGGGCTCAAGCCGAGGGTATTAAACAGCTGCTCCTGCCGCTCTCAGGTCAGAAGGGTGTGTGGAAGCTGCAGGGACAAAGACAGGAGCCATGGCATCATTCAAGAAGTCCTTTGAGGGCCTGAAAAGCACGAGCCACTCAGCCGCTAAAGGAGTCACAGACACTGCAGGTACAGACCGGTGGCTACAAGGTGATACGATCGACATCAGACCTGGAATCAAGAGAGTTGTACTGCAATTAATACAGCATTTTATTTTTCTTTCTAAGAGATTTTGCAGTAAAATGAAGTTTAAAAGCTGTCAGTCACTTTAAAAACCTGTGATGCGTTTCCAGTGCAGGCAGCTGAGGAAGCCGTGCAGCAGGTGGCAGACTCCTCCAAAGAAACAGTCAACAAAGGTAAGGCGCACATTCCTTCTTTCTAGCATCATATACTGTAATTAGTTGGTGTTTACTGAGGCATGGATGGCAGACACAAGCTGTCAGTCATATTACTGCCAAATTAGATGTTTAATTGCTAATAAAAGCAGAGCAGTTAAAAGGAAACATGAATTGTAAAAATGAATGCAGTCAAAATAGAAATATTGGAATTATTATAACAGTATGAATAAAATGCAAATTTTATATTGTTTAAAATTAGTTTTAGAAATAATTCCTCGGGTTATTAGAAAAATTTGAAATGTGGAGAAATATCATATTTGACAATCATACAAATGAATGCACTGTGAAAATATTAGTTGAATATTTTTTATTCAACTCTATCCAGTTGAATATTAGCTGAATATTAGAGGATTTGTTGCTTAGCTTACTTCTCTTCTGTTCTGCTCTGACTTATCAAAGCTGCTGAAGAAACCAGCAGGCAGACTCAAGCAGCCATAGGAAAAGCTGCGGGCAAGGCCACGGACACCATCAAGGAGTTTGGGCAGAAAATGGAATCTAAATGATCCCTAAAGAATGGACACTTGTAGCTGAAAGTTAAGCCAACTTGTCTGATCACCCCCTTCAGGCAGGGGAAACTGTTGGGATGGAATTATGCAAACCATATAAACTATTTTTAAAAAGATATAAACTATAGTTATCGATATATATATATATATATATATATATATATAGAGATATATATATATATATATATATAGAGAGATATATATATATATATAGAGAGATAGATAGATACATATATAGAGAGAAAGAGACATATGGCTTTACGTAGCTAACATTCCAGAAGAAATGTTTATAAACTGTCTTTTCTAATTTTCCATTTGTGCTTTTTTTCTTCTTTTTCTTTTTTGCTTTCTGCCTGTTTTTGCGAAATAAATGAATTCCAACACCTCTTACGGGTTCGTAAAATGTGATATCCTGCCACACTCAGGAGACTTAACACTGTTAGTTGCTCTGCAGGCACGGTATCTATGATGCATCCTGTTTTTTTGCTTTGTGGAGCGCACTCATCAGTGAATCACCACGGTCATCATTATTACCAACACATTGCTGAGAAGATGGCCTTTGGCAGGCTGATGGCCCCTGATGAGAGTGTGATCAGAGCCCGTCTACCTTGGTCCTCAGCAGCACACCTCCCCTGCATCCCACTACGTGGTTGCCAAGCAACAGAACTCTGTGGCAGCCTTCGAATTAACGGCGAGAATACTTATGTCAGTACACGGTGTTCTGGCCAAGCCGCAGCAGCCCACTGCCATGCTACAAGCAAGTCGGTTAGAGATTCTCAAAAAAAAAAAAAAAAAAAAAGAAATGTCCCACTCAATCACTAGAGGCAAGCAGAATTAGAGAGGCTCTAGAGAAATATGTGTCGCAAAGCAGGGAGGTTGGAGGGGAATGACGAATGAGTATAAAATACTTGGTGATTTACAAGTTTTTGTTTGTGTGGGAGGCGAAGCTGCTGCTTCCAGGCTCCTTCAGCTTAAATTCTCTGTTGTGTCTTTCATGTACAGATGCTGCAGAACAACCACTGTTACTAATATCTCTCTGATGTTCTCCACAAGCTTTGAGTTTGCATAGACTTTTTGGAAGTCCTGTAATGAGCCTGTGATCATCTGTCTTCCTGAAGTAGGACATGTTTTAAGCATTTATCTATTTATTTTTTTTCTTTTTTACTAAGCTTAAGATTCTGTTAAACAAACAAACAGGCAAATGTGGCCTTGACGCACACATGTACATGCAGACATACACACACACACACACACACAGACACTGCTGTTTTAGTTCAAAACCCTGCTTCATTATTGCTAAGAGAAATCCCACTTCTGCATACTTCACCCTCCCTCCCTCATGATCATTTGTAATGACGTGAGAGTTTTATCACCAATTTATGCCTCCTTTAAAATTTCTCCAGATTAGCCAGTTCACAGGTTTATCTCTGTGCACGTAGCTGCCATTGTGTTTCTATGAGAACCTGAAGTTAATTACTATGATTTACTGCTGATTAGAGAGCTGTAGAGATATTTTGCCATTACATTACCACTCACTGCCAGAAACCCGACCGTGGTTTCCAGGGAAACTGGAAATGTGAAGCTTTTCAATAGACACAGCCACAGCCTAAAGAGCGAGGATTGCCTAAGATAGATTCTTCTAGAGACAAACCTGTAGCCACTGCAATCAGCATCAATCACCGGGGGGAGATGCACGGACAGATGTTTGTCGCAATCGGTGCTGAGATTTGCAATGTTTGACCCAAATCTGAAGAAGAGTTGTGGAGTGGCTTCAGCCTGACTTTAGACTGCTGAGGTATGTCCTAATTTTCTGAGATCTCCTTTTGTAATCATGCTTGTTTTATAGTTACATTTTGAAAACAACTCTGAATTCATGTGCACGCTGTTTGTGTTATGTAATTATGGACTAGAATAGAATTCAGACAGGAGCTGATAATGAGATATTTTTGGGCATGAAGATTTGACTTTGTCTCTTTTTAAAGTATTTAAAAAGATAGTCCTGCGATATTAAAGTAAGTGTGCAAACAATTCTGATCAAGTAGTAGCAGTGATGCTCCTGTGTCTATTTGAATAACTGAATAATATCAATTTCGTTTCGTATCGCATGACAGAATATTTTTATCTTCCGCTTGTGCTTGTGCTTGTTCCCGATGATTAACTGCGCGGACACTTTCACACTGCTGTGTTATTCCTGCAGGTAATTCTAGCCCTTTAATGCGGAGACAGAATGGGAAGCCTTAAGGATGAGATGAGAGGTGTCACGGAGGACCACCAGCCTTGCGAGAAGACGGATAATGGGGGGCGTCCGGGAGGCTCAGATAGCACTGCTGCGCCTGAAGGACCTCAACTGTACAGGAGTCAAGAGTCAACCACTCAAGGGGACTATCAGCCGGCACTACAGGGGAATGTCAGCTCTGTTGAGGAGAAAGAGAAAAACCTAATATCTAAAGATCAAGTGCTTTCAGGGGGGGATTATAGCAATGCTGACCTAACAGACACTGAACGAGTTAAAAACTGCACACAGATCGATGCCATGCCTGCAACAGAAGAGCACAATAAAACAACGACAGCAGCTACAAATAACGATGCAAAGGTGACGATCAAGTTTCTGAGTGATGGAGATGGAAAACCTGAAATTCAAGAGGAAAACTTTGAAGATCAAAATCTCAACAGAGGAAAAGATGCAGGAATTGAGAAAATCTCAGTTGCTGTCCCATCAACTCCAGACCCTTATGACCCACGCTCCCCGGCCCCTTTTGGGCAGCACCACATGCGCACACAGGTGAGCCTCGAGGTGGTCCAGTGCTGCTCGGCAGCAACCAGCCCCATGACTCCTCCAGAGGGCAGCCATTCCTTCTTCTTCCCAAGTTCTTTTGGGAAACCTCAAGCCGTGGGCACTGACACTAAAGATGCAGAGTTGCAGGTGGGTCAGCAAGTGGAGTTCTGCTCTGTCGCCACATCCCCCATGACCCCCAAATCCCCATATAGCATGGCTTTCCCAGAGGTTATCGGGAGAGAGCCAGTGCAAAGGGACGAGAAAGTGAAAAAGAATGAGGAGCCGAGGGAGACTGGTCAGCAGGAGACAAAAGTTTCAGCAGATGCTGTGTCAGAAACAACTGAAACTTTAAAATTTACTACATCAAAGGAGATGACTGAGAGTTCCACCAATGGAGTGGATGCTGAGTTAATAGGCGCACATGTAAGTGTGGAGGGTAGCAATCAGCAGTGTAAGCAGCAGAGGATGGGAAGTATGGATCAAGACATTACAATCTTGGTGACCCAGTATGGCAACAATGAGGAGGAAGAAACGGACGAGGCTGAGTCGTTTTTTTATTCTGTTGAACCGGAGATGGTCAAAATAGATGAAGATGAGGTTGGAGAAAGCTGCAGTGATATAAAGAGGAAGGAAGGAAAGTCCTTCAGTGAAAGTGTTCACAGGAGCACAAACGATCCACAAACTAAAGTACCTTCTGCTGCTGTCAGCGAACATCCGAAAACATGCACAGGATCCGAGCAGTCAGAGGTCGAAAACAAAGATGCACGTGAAGAAGAGAGAGTTGTTTCTGCAAAAAAATCCCCCATCCCTGAATCACCGGCTCCCTTTGGCTGCCATAACATCCGCACACAGGTGAGCCTGGAGGTAGTACAGTGTCAGTCTGTGGCCACCAGCCCCATGACCCCACCTGAGGGGGACCAGGCCTTCTATTTCCCCACCTCTTTTGGAAAATGTGGGGCTGTGGGCACAGAGACTAAAGATGCTGAGTTGCAGGTGGGTCAGCAGGTGGAATTTCGCTCTGTCGCTACCGCACCCATGACCCCGAGAACTCCCACGATTATGACTTTCCCTCAGGTCATGAAGGAGCCTAGCATAGAGGAGAAGATAGTGGAGGAGGAAGAGGAAAAGAAAGAAGAGGCAACAGAGGAGAAAGAGGAAAAGAAAGAGGAGGCAAAGAAGGAGAAAGAGGAAAAGAAAGAGGAGGCGACGGAAGAGAAAGAGGAAAAGAAAGAGGAGGCGACAGAGGAGAAAGAGGTAAAGAAAGAGGAGGCAATGGAGGAGAAAGAGGTAAAGAAAGAGGAGGTGATGGAGGAGAAAGAGGAGAAAGTAACCCAAGAGAGAAAGGTGGAGGGAGTTGAAGAGAACACAAAGGAGGAAATCAACTGTAAGGAGAAAGATGAGGAGAAATGCGAGGAGCCAGTGCAGGAGGTGAGCTGGGATGAGAAGGGGATGACGTGGGAGGTGTATGGAGCTGTGGTGGAAGTAGCCGTGCTGGGCTCTGCCATCCAGAAACACCTGGAGAAGCAGGTGAAGAAGCAGAAGAGGCAATCCTCCATGCCACCGCCTCCTCCGCTCAACCCCACAGCTACACCCCTGACCCCCGAGATAGCCCAGGGGGGTTCAGGTAAGGGTCGTGCAGGGAGAAGAGGGGAGCATGATGGGAAAGCGGGCCGACGCAGAAGAAACCCCTTCCGCCTGCTGATGGAGAACATGCAGCAGCCACACTGTTGCTCCAGAGCTCATACCACTGAGTGACAGGAGAGAAAGTTTACATGGGATCTGATACACGTGGTTGTTATCCAGTGCATCCACTGAATGACGTCGTCTCGATGGTGTGAGAAAAAGAAGGACAAAATTCACACCTTCGCTCAAGACAAGCAAGCACAAAAGCATTTAATATGAAGTTTGCGCCGAGAAGCATTAACCGCTGAGAAAGCAGCCATAAATTATGATTTCTCTTTTTATCCCCCACACACCCCACCCTCGCTGATTGGTATCTTATTCACAAATCTCTCTGCACACACCGACAGAGTGATGATGGACGTTTGGGGAAATGAGAGCGATGCGTCAGCGTCATCATCAGCCTGGCTCTCCTCCTTTAGTGTTTTTCGCTGAAACCATCCACTGACTCATTTTAGCTGTTGGTGCTTTTTTTGTTGTTGTTTTTTCCACTCACCTCACACAATGTGAAGCCATGGCAACCAGCTTTTCTCCTGGTTGCTAAAAAGCTTGTTAAGCTTCGACAGAGAGAGAGAGATGATAGTGTAATGACAGGTTTTGAGTGTGATTTGTGACCTGGTGGCCTGGGGGATATTTAAATCGATTAAGTGTTGCCTTGATCTCTCTGTAAGAGGAGTCTCTACTGTCAGTGCAGGCTTTTGTATGTCTTATATATTGCTTTAGATTTGGCAGTGTTTTGACTTGTTTGTATTGTGAAAAGTGTAAAAAAAAAAAAGACAAAAAAACTGATGACGCGTACAATCACCTTTCAAGGAAAGTAATGACTCCTGATATCAGGGTATTTTTAGTCATGAGTGCTCACAGTATTTTAATGCCATAATCTGTGATCCTGTTGTAAATTATGCGAAGGCAATGATTTTAAGCGTGTTTTAAACAAGCGGTTGTTACAGTGTCAGTGAATGTCCGTGTTCACCAGCATTAACTTCAGGTCCACATTCAAAGGATCAGAATTTATTCATGGATTGCACTTGTGTTACATTCATTTAGGTGTCAGTAAACAGTGAATAATCTTTTCAATCTGCTGCTTGTTGGAAGTCACTCTGCATGAGTTTTTTTTCTCTTCATCAAGAATTTCATAGCAAACACTGACAAATTAAAACAGGGAAAGAGAGAGCGAGATTTTGTCAGACACACAGTTATAAATAAGGGTTTCATTCATACACTGACATTTTGAAACCTTTTTTTTTTAATTTATCTGTTTTTCTTGATTTCTGTGTTGGTATAACTTTAAGAAACAGTTTCTTTCAAAAGCAATTCAAACCCTTTTTAAACCACTGCTTATTATAATAACAAAAATAAAGTGATTCACATGTGCATCAAGCAAGAAGTTTGTGTGTTTAACCACTGCTGCTATTCATTTTTTTATACTGCATGGATTGAAACTGTCTCTACAGAAAGATAAAGGAAGAGTTTGATATTTTTAGGCCATCGATATTGATTTCACTTTCATACCTATGTACAAACTATGAGGCTACAGCAAACAAGCAGTTTGCATACTTCAGCTCTCTGACTGGATTGGAATAAGGTCTTTGAAATCATTACACTTTTATACAATTAGATCTTTTTCACAAAATAGGATCCCCCTTTTGGTTCAGTTTTATGCTTGTAAAGGGTGTTTAGGCTTCAAAGTTAAATCTGTAATACAGAAATGGCTATTTGAAGATGAAGTCTTCATCAAGAACTATATAATAAGTTTGATTTGGTATGCCTGATTACAAAGAAGCTACATTTGTCTAGCTGAGGCATCTGGCCTTCACTATTTACATTACAAATCTGTGGTGTCAAATACAGGGTTGCTGTACCCCATGAGGGGGTTGTCAGTGCTTTGGTTTTGGTCAGCCAGGGTCAGTGCTTCATGCAAAGGCTCAGTGTACCCTGGTGGATCCTCTTTCGGATGTCGAGCACTTTCCAAGTCAGAGTCGTCGGAGTTGAAGCTTAGATGGCTTTGGTGGAAAAACAAAGAGAAAGAGGGAGACAATATGAACAAATGATCATTTCAAGGTTTTTGATTTAAAAACAACAATCACATGGCATTGCTGGAAGCACAGAGCCAGCTCTGTCACAACATGCTGTAGTGGGCACTCTGTGGCAAAATGTTCACCTGGAAATCATCCCGGTTTATTAACCAGCACAGCTACAGAGTGGTGAGCGCAGCTGCGTTTCACCGTGAGCCACCTTATCAAACTGTGTTGATCAAGCCAGTAACTGCTCTCTGTAGGCAGTGGACCGATTTACAGACAGGGTTCTTTGTTTCCTTGTTGTTTTTGTTTTACCTGTGTTTGTCATCATCAGAGCTGCTCTCTTCTAACTCGATGGTTGTGTCGATGTTCAGGTTGAGCACAGGATTAGCACTATCAGAGAGAAGTGACACATGTTAGAAGGCAAACTTATACATTAGGTTTCATACCATTGCCTATTTCATTTATCTGAATAAGGTTTTGTCTCCTCACCCTTCCATAGTGTACTTGTTGGTTCCAGGTAGCATAAGACCATTTTTCTGGTTGTCATAATTCATACTGGATGCAGATTCTGCAGCTTTAGCAGCCTTAAGCTTCCTTCTGTAGCTGTAGGGTGGAATGATGAGTGGTCAGTACACAGACTCCCTGCTGGTCATAGTTGTTTGAAATCATAGGTATCACATTTTCTTACTTTCTGCGAGTGCAGAGGAGTGAAGTGGTGAGGACAAGAAGTACAATGACAAGGCCTGCCACAATCCCCAGCAGGACATATTTTACTGTGTCCACCGTTTTTTCTTCCTCGGGAGCAGTCCCCTAAAAACAGAGGTTTCAGGTTTCGAGTTTCATATGTAGATTATATTTATACTAACCTCACAATTTTCACATGTCCTTTAATACTGATCAGACTTATCAGACCTCTTACTAATCTGGAGTTAATTGTTTTGTAAAATGAACCAAAGGGATTGCTACTGCTGTCTCCTTTAACCAGATTTTAAATGTCTTTATCCCTGTAAAATATATTTTACTTTACTTTTCTAAATCTACATTAAAAAATTGTTTTTACACCCTCAATATACACAAAGCAATAATTTTGAGTAAAATGCAACTGTAATATATAAAATTTATAAAAAGGTTTATTTATTCAAATAATTAAAAAATGTGACTTCATTTGACAAGATTCCATTAAATGTAGCATTTTACATTGTACTTACGTAATAAAATTCCATGAAAAAATGTACATGTAAAAAATCAGTTACATTTTTTTTGGGGGTTTTATTGATGTTTTTTTGGGGGGGTGGGGGGGGGTCAACACTGATATTAAAGTAATTTAATATAAGTAATTTTTCCATATAGCCAATATAATTCAAATGCACCATCCCTTACATACACTGTAATGTTACATACACTGAGTCATTAATCTCAACGTAGTTACGGCTGTTTCTGAAGATCACGTGATCCACCTTTATGGGAAATCAAATGCCTTTTAATATTTAATAAATATAAATCCTAAATTATTGAAAATTAGGCATGTTTTTTAAAAGTGATACACATGAAACAATTCTGAATTTAACCTGCTGGTGGAGCCAGAGTGCTTGTTGGAGCACACATTGAACTTGGTGAAAAGAATCAGTGAACTATCCCCTGCCCCTGTGCTGACTCTGAAATACTTTGTATTAGACTGCCAACAGCAATTTATCAAAAAAGAAGAATAAAAAAAATGATGACAAAATGACCAAGAAGATATAAAGAAGAGGCAGAAAAATAGTTGGTTTTTTTTGCCGTGTTTAAAAAATAAAACTGTACTTACAATGTTATCTAGCCCAAGCTCTATCAGCTTAGGAAAGTGTTCCGCATCAGAGAGCATTATTTCCACTTGAACAGAGGTAAGGGCCGTTCCATTGGCATAGACAAAATAAGCTACCACAATAGTTTTCTCTGTAGCCCTGAGAGAACCATTAAAACACACACACACATACACATAAATTAAATCAACACATTTCAGCTGTTTAAAACCTAAAACCTGGAGTTGCTGCCATTGACATTTTGTCTACATGTGCAATTGCACCACCTAGTGAGGAAAAACAAAGCATAGGAGTAAGCAAGGAGATATGAAAGGGAACTTACCTGGATGTCTCACTGTTGTAAGGCCTAAGAGCAACAATTTCAACAGCAGCCTTAGTGGCAGTCATAAGTGCTCTAAGAGTCCCAGAAGATGACGGGGGGAAGAAAATGGGTAGATTTAAGTGGTGACTGAATGAAAATTAGCAGATTAGATCAGATATAGTCTTTACTAATGATTCAGACATTACCTCTTGATCTCACTGAGCTTTTTTTCAACCTCAATCTGATTATTTGCAAACCTGAGTTCGACTTTGTAGGATTCATCGACTGTGAAAATCTGCAGTTATAAAAAGAATGCAAACATTGGTGTGTGCCGCAAGTTTTACAGCCTGTTTTCAATATACAACACAGGGTAAGCAAATCCCACGTCACTTACATCCAGCACGGTGCTAGAGGACAGGCCGCCGGGATCAGTCGCAGAGACTGTTACCAAATACTTCCCCTTCAGTGTCAAATCAAGTGTCTGTGTAGATCTGTGGATAGTTGAAGGGAAGCACACCCATAAGAACCATAAAAATGCACCCATGACAATATCATTTTGGAAAAAACAACACGTGCATGGGCTCCTATTATCCCTGCTCGAGTATAAATGTAAATATATAAGTAAAAGTAAAAACACCGACACTTGTGAGAAAAACCAGAGCAGACTGAGTTGTGACTGCAGGAGACGATTTTGTACTCACTGAATAATCCCAACATAGCGGTCATTTTGCTGTGTGGTGACAGCCTCAAACAGTGCCCCCTTGTCACTTATTTCATTGTTGGTGTTTTGGAATTTCACATCTGTCACTTTAAACTCGATCTGACTGTTTATGCCACTGTCACGATCTGTAGCCTATGAAAGACATGAAGTAGAGCATCATGCTTCATGCATCGTTAACATGCCGAAATGAGGTCAGGTGTTTTCGCTTTTCAGTCGTACTCACAGTGACCCCT